TCTCTCTCTCTCTCTCTCTCTCTCTCTCTCTCTCTCTCTCTCTCTCTCTCTCTCTCTCTCTCTCTCTCTCGCATTACACCTTTATTTCCAATAGTAATAATTGATTGCAAACCCATATTTAGCGAAAAATGTTTGAGAGACGGCAGAAAAAAGGTTCAATTGTTCGGTAAATAGATGTCTAATAAATAATTGTTTTTTATATTTCATTGTATGGCAAGAATTGGTGTCATTCATGGGCTAAACGCAAACTCGCAAACAATTGATTGAGAAGTTATTTTGTATATTATATTTGCTATTAATTTTCTCAATACGATTACAATACCTAATAAATAATTGCTTTTTATTTGTATTTATTTATAAAATTAAAGAAATTTTAATTATATATAAAGTAAAAACAAAAGGTTTGAGATAAATATTCTTTACACTAAAATTAGAAATCAACTAAAAATACAAGAAAAAACAATTGCTATAAAGTTATTTGAATACGGATTTCATTGATTAGTTGACATTATTTTGCTGTTTGCGGACCAGATTTGGGATCTGCTTCAGTCTCTTCGGATAGAATGGACTCGGATGTGGTGGTGTTCCCAACATTTTGTTTATTATCTGTTGATTTCTGATCCGCGAGTTTCTCTCTGGCCTTTTCATTGGTTTTAGTGATTCTGATGGCAGAACCAATGGATGGACTTCTCTTCAGATCATGGGATAGGAAGTAATTTTCTGTTGTCTTCTCCTTCTTCTTTACGCTATGTTTTTCAGACTTTTGACACAAACAATAGATTATCAAAGAAACCATGAATACAGTGACGGCAACCACAGCCCCGATACCTATTTCTACAATTGTTATTTCCATTAAATATTACACTTTGGTTAGCATTTGATAATTATAATGACAACTTTGGCTTTAAGTTAATTTCTAACAGTTATAAACATTTAAAGATTTGAATTTAGTTTATATTTAAAACAGAATTACAACTTATTATTGTTATATTGATTGCATTTAATCGTCAATTTATTGTTAAAAGTCTCGTTTAGAAAACAGTAGTTTTAATTATTAAGTTAATTGTTGTGTTAAATTTTGCTGTAAATTGAATACAATTGAATTTCATAACTCTTTTGCAATTTTAACATGGTGTTCATATTATGTAATTAACTAACCATGATTTAATTTTAAATAACTTTAATTGGGAATACAGAAGTTATTTAGTAAATTCATCTGTACATTTAACATTGCAAATTTTTAACCAAACAGTAAATGTTTAGATATTTTACCTTATATAATTATCGATAGAGTGGAGATAAAACATCTTGATCAACTTGAACAAAAGTCAATTTAAATGTTGGATTGGAGTTAAAAATATCCTAATAGATATTACCAATATTTTTTGTGTTCAATCAATCGGTGTGTCTGTAAATAAATTGCATAGAAATTAATTGATGGCATTCAGAGCCTGATATCCTCTTCACAAACAATCGCTTGACATATGAAGTGCACTCTTCGTGCACAGTATGGGCTCTAATAGAGATCATAACCTCAAGTAATACAACAATTATTTATAAACTTGTTATTTATTTTCTAACTAAATAAAGAAAGTTTGATTACTTTATTAAAAACTTCTTATATTTAGTCAATTGCCACTCTTTCTCATTACAGTAATTCAATGGTATTTAATATACAATATACAAACCAAACATTGATACTGTAGATCAGAAGTCACACTTTCAAGTTTCAAGTTTTGATTCTCAACTATATATAAAGTTGCTTTATGGGAGAGAGAGAGAGAGAGAGAGAGAGAGAGAGAGAGAG